TTTAATATGCGTTTTGACTTAAGTGCTTTAAATAGCAGCTTCGTTTGTATGTATAGCCACAATTTATTAAAATACTGAAGTGGATTTGCACTCATTCCGCATTACTTTAAGGGCGCTTAAAGTAATAATAAAAAAAACAATGCTTCCGCATAGTTTTATAAAAGTATATTGTATTGAAAATTGAGTAAGGGATTAATTAATTATAATTTTTTTTATTATTATTTCAGACTTTAAAAAGGTTTACATACTTTCTTATATAGTTTTTTCCTTTTTAATTAAAAATCTCAGGATTTATTTTTAGTGTATATCAGCATACAAAACAAAATACAAAAACAACAACCGGAATTGAGGAAGGGTTGTATTTTCACGAATTAAAAATGTTTGTAAACAAAGCCAAAGAAAATTATGAAAGGAACAAAGTTTTTTTTTGTTTGGTCCGCACGCAACTTATTTGGGGCAACTGTCAAAGTGCTTCGAAAGATGTGTTAATTCACAAGATAAAATCTTAACATTGCTGAACATTTGTTTTAGTATTTCTTGCATTACAAAACTAAAAAAGTGTAGAAAAAGGACGAGAATAGTAAATTATTTTATCTTCAACCGACATACAGTGCTACGACATTAAAGTTATTAAATTTTAATGAATTAAAAAAAAAAATAATTACGAGTAATATGTTTTTAGTTAGTTAAGTAAACTAAAGTTATTAAATTAGTTAATAAAACTAAATAAATATATTAATGTGGTTCGAACTGCAAAACAAAAAGGTTGGAATCTGTTTATGTTAAATTGTGATACTATCCTGCATATTATGTTTTTTTCTTTAATATAAAACAATGAAATCAAATTGACTAAGAGGTCAAAGTACGGGTTGATTTTCTTCAATTTCAATGTTTATTTATCCATAAGTATTGCTTAATGTCCTAGGATAAAGCAAATAAACTGCATAATATTTTTATATAAAATATAACCCTTTAGTGGTTATTACATATCTGATATGGGATTGAAAGTACAGTTAAACTTCCATAACTCGAACTAAAAAGAGTGCAACACAGTTTTAGAGAGCAAATTACATGCAAATCTGCTTCCTTAAGTCGAATTTCTTTATAACTCGAATAAAATTAGAATGAAAAATACTCCTATTAAGACATACGTTTAGAGAGACTTAGTAATTTCGTAAAGACATTATTTATCTCACATGCACTTTTAAATACATATTCCAATTTAATCGAAACTAATCTTGTATCGCATGCAACTTTGTAAACAAAATTAATCTAATCTTCTCTGATTATCTCAAAAATCACGCGAAAATATGAATAATTTTGTTATGAGTTTTAAACATCACTTTCGCTACTTTATAATTTTTCCCATTTTCGACAATTAAATTTAAATTAATGTATAAATGATAATAATCAGAAGATAATAGCATGCATTAATTAATGGATAATGAGCATATAGTAATTTTGGTATCTGCATATGAAATATGAGACACATCTTGTAGTAACTGCCATATAAGTCGCTAAGGGCTAAAAATTTTTTCAGAGGTATATATCTATAAATCACTGAGGCTATTATGGAGATAAATTAATATAAATAGTTATTCGTCGAAATTATATTTAAAAAAATTATATAACCAAAATAAAAAAATTTATTCAGAGATGTTTAATGTTATTTATTGCGTATATTAAGAAAGTAATGACATCAATAGATAAATTTAAGTTGAGTTAAAATGACTGTCCATTAGTCGCGCATATTTTTATTAGCCACTAGCGATAATAGAAAGAAGTTAATCTCTATATAGGTTTTATATTAAGTATTTTTAAGCACTTAAAGTGCACTTGAAAGCATTTCTTAAAACGTGTTTTTAGATCATAGATCATAGATCAATTTAAATCCAGATTCTTTGTTCTGAAGTTCTATTACAAATACACGTTGCTATCAGGACAGTCGGCACTGATAGACAAGCCTCCGATAGACGTTCTGTTGTTTGATAACTCGCTGTTAGTTAGTCTCGCAAGCAGTTAGACTTAAAAATGACTGTAAACATTTGTGAGATTCACTATAATTGTTCCCGAACAACGTGCTCAATTTTCTACAGAACAAATGAAATGTATTATAACATACAGTTAAAGTATATTTGATCAAATTAGACTATAGTGAAATTTGACCTTGTGTACTAAAGTTATAAGTCTCTCTCATAGATAAGTCTCTCATAGACGTTGTGGTGTTTAATAAAAATGGAGTTAATATCTGCAAAAATTTGACATAATGACAATTATGAACATTTGCCTGAGCCAATGTAATTGATTTTGATAAATGTACATAGAGTTATATTCCAACCAGCATTAACAATCGCTTAACGAAAATACGTGCCGAGGAATGATAACTTATTGCTCGCCTGGGTTATTGTTTTGTGATTGTTTGAAACATGAATTTTTCTTCCTATGCATTTGTTATTATAAATAGTAAAAAAGCATCACCAAATGACTATATATGCTTTCTCTGACTATATAGTCAAAGTATATTGTTTAAAGTTTAAAGTTAATAAACTTCCGTAAAGATTAAAAATGCATTATTGTTGCGGTTTTTATTTTAATTTTACATTTTGCATGCATTTTAAATTAACACCTTTTTTTAAATCAATTATAACTTAATATAGTTATTTAAAGTTTTAAAGCTTTATTGGACTCATTTTTTTTCTTACAGCAATTGTTCAAGATGTAAACCTTTGTGCATTATTAATAGCATAACATTTTACTCATACATGAATACTTTTGCATTGTTTGTTAAATCACACTAACAACAAGAAAC